TCTCACACGTCCGTCCCGCGTAGGCCTCGGGGCAGCTGCAGGTGAAGCCGGCCTGGGGCCCCGGCTCGCAGCTGCCCCCGTTGCGGCAGGGGCCGGAGGCGCAGGCCCCCGGCGGCACGCACTGGTAGGCGAACCAGCGGTTGATGCACATCAGCTCGCCCCAGCAGGGATTGCTGGCGCACACGTCCGGGCCGCGGCAGCCGATCTTCACCGAGGGCTCTGTTCTGGAGAGCGTGGCGAGGCTGTGCTTGCCGGCGAAGGGAAGGCTGTCCCCGCCGTACTTGATGTAGGAAATGCAGCCGTTGAAGCCTGAGACAGGGAAGAAAAGGGACAGAGGTGTCGGGGGCTGGAGGCCGAGTACGCGCTGTCAACAGCGCGCTGCGGGCTCCACTGTTCACTAAATAAGCCGTGGTTACCATAGGGAAACGTCTATTCCAACAGTGCTTAATGGCTTTAAATTGAATTTGAATAAATACGCCTTCTAATGTCTTCATTCAGTTTGCTGAAATGCTTTTGTCTCCTGATTTTCCCGTATTTCTTAAACTTCTTATCGTTTCCCACAGAGGATCCTGTGGACAGCTGGCTTGGCTGTGCTAGCACCAAACATTATTTGAGTTTGCCTACTGTGCTTCAGCTAAGTCTCCTATCCCCATAATTCACGGCAATGCTTTTGTATCTCTGAATCTCGAGAGGCCTTTTCCCAAACGCCCCCACACCTTGGTTGCAGCGCTACCCTACAAAAAGTTTTACTGCTGTGAGAGCCCAGGGAGATGGAGTTACCCCCAGGATCTGCGCAGTGGTTGAGTGAGGTCACAGGAAAATCCAGTCTTTTGCCTGCCTAATAATTCTCTGTGTTCCCCTAACTAAATCTGATGCCTAATGGACAAGGCTTTCCTGGAAGGGTTTTGAGCAAGTGCAACCTTACGGTGGTCTCTGCTTGGAGCCATGGCAAAATGGTACACAGAGGTGGATACCACTCTGTCATGAAACAGCAAATATACCTGAGTTGCATGAGATGGTATTAAAGGTTTATAATCCTCATGGTTAAAGATTTAGGTTCAGTTGGGAGCCCAAGCAAAAGTGATCATCACTTTTGTACTTACAGTACTGATGTGATGTGATGTGATGTGATAAACAGCAATGGGCAATTTGTCACATCTACCTGGCTTTGGAAATTTTATCGGACACGGCCACTTCACAGCCCTGTCACCTCGTGCATTGTCTGCCTTTAACAGCACTGAAGACATTTTTAACTCTGAGTTCATGAAGAGTTTTATACCAGCACCATGTAAATCTTTGGTATGTCGTACCCTGCGTGATCCAATATTAAAATAAAATAAAATTGTGTGAAAAAGGGATTTTGGACTGTGTGTGCTTAATAGAAGCCAGACATTCCTAATTTGTCTGCCACAGCATTGGGCAGTGGTGAGAGGTTAGTGTCCTCAATTTTCCTTGTTCCAGCTTTCCTACAAGCCTTTGCTTTTTCCATGCACATGCTGCTCATAAAACATGCATGTAGAAAGGATAAAGGTCAGCACAGCATCCACACGATTTCGTACCACATTTCATACATATTCGCAATACACAAGTGTAAAGTGTGAATTTACTCCACTTGAAAATACTTTAGCTGGTCACAATTCATGAAGCCAGGAAGATTTTTCAATATAGAAATATGTGAAAAATACATCTGTATTGTCTGGAGTATCTCCTGTTTTGCAGCTAAAAATCACTTCCATCTTTGCCTAGTGCTTGGGAAATGATATCAAATACATGTTATCTACTTCTTTTGCCAGGGTTTGACACAGATACTTTAACTCTTAAGGGAGACTGATTTGCTCCTTAACAGCTAGACATCAGTCACAGGACGGTTCTTTATCGTCCTTGCTCAGAAGCAAATCCCATTCTTCATTTGACAGCAGGATAAAGCAGGAGGACCTTGGAGTTGCAGAAAATATTTAAATCATATTAATAAGAGGGTAAATCCTGCAGTACTTACCAAATCCCTACAAAGTTTTTGTTTAGCATTTCTGCCCACATGAAAGATTTGCCTTGATTTTCCAGATTATGACTCAGGTAAAGAATACATCCTTTCTTCACCATTGGGGTAATAAAAATACAGCAACTGATATACAGATAAGCAGCCCCCTTGTCTCAAAAAAACCCTGCAGAGGGAGTGCTTGATTTTGGAAACAAGAAGCCTGCAGGGGTGTACTAAAGAAACAAAGTCTGTAATCCTTACTCACTCGATTTTCATTTTTTCTGGCAAAGGATGGACGTACACTAATTACTGATAAAGAATTACAGCACTTGGGGAAAAAAATTTAAAAAAAAATAAAATAAAATACCTGCAACTGTGCTCTTGAAGGGTTGGCTGGATGGAATTCCTCCCAGAGAAATGGTGAGGACGTTCAGCCCACCGAAGTCTTGGGTGGCATGGAGAATGTCCCGGCTGTGAGTCCTGTCCACCGACAGGATGGTGGCAGAGCCATTCTTCTCCAGGAGGACTGAGTGCCACTGGCCATCTGCAGCATACACCTCAGGGATGTTCCTTTCCACTTTCCCAGCAACTCCAGCATCAGATATGTAGTGCACCTTCCCACCTTTTATCTGGTCAGAAGAACACATGATGTGAAATTTTAAAATGGTGTCACGTAACTCCCACCCACACATAACTGGTGTGATGCCTACTCAGTACAGCTACAGTAACATGTAGCTTTGGTGTAACAGAAAGCTGGGGTGGGTATTTTCTTTCCCCCAAATAATTGCTTTGTACTAAAAAGGCATTAATTATTTAGTACGAAACAACTGTCCAGAACTAAATGCATCACATGGCAGAAACTTAAGCAGGAAATTTGCATCTCAGAGCTGCCACCCATTCAATCCCTGGCTAATCCTACTCAGAAATCAGCTATAGGTCATGCACATGACAATGCATTTTAACCAGAGAAAGAGAAATTCTTCCTCTTTCTTCAAGGCAAGAGTGGAAAATGTTTTGGAGAGTGAACAGATGTTGTCCTTGCCCAAGCAAATTGCATCCAGTTTTTATTATGACACAGTAGGAATGCATAAGGCAGGGCTTGAGCAAGAGCCCCATTTCATATCTGCTTTTTCTGCTAATTGGTATTTTGCAAAAAACTTTTGTTGTATTTCAGAAAACTTTCTGAAGAGTTGCAAAGTGTATGATTTTGTGAGAATTTTCAAATAGTGCTTTCTTGAGCAAACTGCTTTAAAACTTGTGAACAGCTAGGAAAAAAAGGAAGAATATTTTGGCTTTTCCTCTTAAGAATGATGCCTTACAATTCTACTGAATCATGAGATGCGGGATTTCAAACTCTTATTATGATCCCAAAATGAGATCAGTGCAAATTCTGCACTTAAGGTGTAGGAGCTTAAAAAGAATCCCCAACATCCAACTTTGCCAAATATTGCTTAAATTTGGGTATTGTTGGCTGACCTCCTGGGGGTGTACAGAACTGCATAAACTCATGTAGGATGGCTCTGAAACTTGCTGCAGGTTTCCTTTGGTGCTCTGCATGTTTGGTCACACGTATTAAATGGAACAAGAGCTCTCCATCCCACGTTCCCCACTGCGGCTCGGTCGGTCCGAGGTCCGTACCCAGAGCGTGCGGGACGTGCACAGGCAGAGTCCAGGAAAGGTCATAGCCCCAGGTTTGCTGAAAGCTCTCAAAGCCTTACTTCCTTTGTTACAGGAAAAATAAAGTTCACCTGGGAAGAACTGTGAGGTGACACACCGGCTACAAGAATGCTGCGCTCGTTTCCAGAAACTGTTAAAATGTTCTGGATTTGCTTCTCCAGTGATGCAAGCTGAGGACTTTGTTCAGACACTCCAGCTTTAATAAGGCTGTAAGACCACGCTCATGTCTTGGCAGCTGCCTGAATGAATGCATCTAGCACGTATTCCGTTTGGATGGAGGACACAGCGGTTAATATGTGCATCCACTTCCTTTATGAAGGCAGTAATTCAGATTATTTGAAAATGCATTGTTTGATAAAGCTCGCCTCGTAGGCAGGATGCTTTTGTTACTGATAAAAACACAAGTAGCATGTGTCTAAACTATCACAGAGCCCAAGGAAAATCCCATCTTTACAAATGCAGCCCACAGACTATTAAAACATATTAAACACCATTTCCCACTATCACTCATAAAAAGGTTGACTGAGCTGAATATGTACATATATTTATGTCTGCAACCTGTAATTGCTTTGTTATGTCTTACTCTGTCTTTTATGCCCCATAAAAATACTGCCTTGTATTTTAGTCTTTATGTAAACAGAAAGGAATACACCATGCCAGACAATACCCTCCAAGCTTAAGGGAAGACTGAGCGCAGAAGCAAAATTTTTAATTTCACCTTAGAAAAGATCTGTGGAATTATTTACCTGTCAGCAACTGATATTTTCCATAGTAATTCATGATTCTTTAACCCTATTTCTGTATCTTAAAAATTGCACATGAGTAATGCTAACAGATTCATAAATAACGCACTAGGGGCATTTGGAAAAGAAGATTTCCAGAGACAAGAGTGGCCCATGGCTACCTCAACCAGGAAAAGATATGGAATGATCCTCTTGTTGTCTTGAGGCAGAACATGTTTCTAAATTTGAAACAAAGGCTGAAGTCGACAGTATTGAGTAAAACAAATTTCTGGGTTTTATTTAAATGGCTGAGCAACTGACAAGTAGAATATAATGAAAAGAATGAACCACTAAAAACAAACATGTTCCTAACTACAGGGCTGATTCAACTTTACCAATTTTTCAAGTCTCATTTGCTGAACAAATTGGGTTTTATTTGTCTTAAAACTAGCCATGGAATGGGATGTCATTTGAAAGGGTTATGTTCTGATTAATTCCTACAGCTTGATATATGCACAGAATCATGGAATGGTTTGCCTAGGAAGTGACCTTAAAGATCATCCAGTTCCAACCCCTCTGCCATGGGCAGGGGCACCTTTCTCATCCAGCCTGGCCTTGAGCACTTCCAGGGATGGGGTATCTACAACTTCTTTGGGCAGCCTGTGTCAGGGCCCAACTCCCCCTCACACAGGAGTATGTTAGCCAATAGAGGTAAAATGTAATCCACATCCTTGAGCTCCTTGAGCTCCATTTATGCTAATTTAATCTGACTGCAGATGAGATTTCTAGATAAAGCAAGACAAGACAGGCAATTTCACCTTTAACCCTCAATGTTTATCCCATTGCTTCTAACTGAATTACTTGCAATGTGCATTTGCAGGAAAATAAGCTACGATAAAGACCCCTAGTAATAAGCAATCCCCCAGCCTCTTTATTGTAGTGGATTTTGGAGGAAGCATTTTCCATCTGAATTTGACAATTATTTAATGTAATCTGTAAAAGTTTGCATCTTTCCTGGGTTAAGGATCCCTTTATGTCATAAAGCCCCCTCTTGGGTTCTTTGGAGGGAGTTTGCATCCATCATTTAGTGAATCAACTGCTCACAATCTCAGTGGGTCTGATTTATTGCCACTTCTCTAGTTTTACCCCAATCTCAGCCACACCAAAACCGATGAGCTGCAAGAGGAAAAATGTGAAAGCATGGAAGTAGCCATAGGACTCATAGCTTTTCCCTAGCATGGTTTAATATTAAAAACACATGGCAGGTTTTTTCTGAATGCTAATACTTTGGATAACAGGCATATTAAAATACCCAAAAATCAAGTTATAAAATTGTCTGATTTGAACACTGACAAGAACTGGGGACTGGCAGGTCCCTAAAGCCCAACTTCTGCACGGCAAGTGGATGGAGTGACATGGAGGCCTTTGCTGGGTTGGCTTCACTGGCATCTCAGGCCACCACTGAGGGGATTACTCATCATGATACCTATTCTGGGAATGAGGAGCAGTGCAGAGCCTGTACTGCACTAGCTACAGTTAAATTACTACAGTTTTACTAACTAGCATCACCTGGGAACTGCTTGGCAACAACCAGCTCAGCTCTCCTTCCTCAAACTTCTGCATCTGGTACTAGGCAAACCTCTGCTCTCTTCCCTTGCACAGCTGGGGCTGGGACTTGACACCCTCTGCTTGCTTGTATAAATTCACCAATATTAACAATAACAAGAGTGTTTGCATAAACACAGCACCAGTGCTTTTAGCCAGGAAAGGCAACTCTCTCTCTCTTTTTTTTTTTAAGCAATGCTTGGAGAGCTCACCTAGCAAATTCTACTAGGGGGCAGAAATAGGATTTTTCTCTCCAGAAGTCAAAGTAATGAGATCTTATCTGCTAATATGAGCGAGGCAGAAACTTCCTATGAAATTATGTGGTAAAAGCACATGCCAGGGAAGTAGTGCAGACTTGCTTCCTAAATGCAGCCGGTGTGTCAGGAAAGCTTCGTAACTCTGACCAGGCAGGTGGAGGATATCCATGGGGCTGAAGCTTAGAAAGTGTGAATTTCTGTATGAATTTCTCTAAAAGTCAGGGAAGAAAAACTTGGAAAACCTTGCAGCAGTCAAGGAAACTTGGAGCTTACACCAACCCAATAAAGGGGCTTGCCAACATCACTGCTGTACTCATTTAGAGTTATGAGTAAATGGACTGAGTCATCGCCAGGAACCAAACCATGGCTTTCTCTTGAGAAAGGTAACTCCTGCAGCAATAAGCTCTTCGAGGAAAGAAAAAAACAACAAAAAACCCCCAAACAGTGTGGCATTTGAAGCATTAATTCAGCTATGTATGCCAAAATAATTTGATATTGACACTGGTCTGCGAGTAACCTCATGAATTTGAGTTATCCCTCACTTCCTAGTTTGATAAGCCTGAGCCATGTTGGTAGGAATTAATGAAAACTTTTTGGCAATCGTTTCCTAGCTTAAGGAGGGTCTGGGTTCAAGGCTCAAAAAATCAGAGGATAAAAGGCCAATAACACAATGATTTGTTCTGTAAAGTGTAATGATGATAATAACCATGGCAATGAGCACCGTTCTCGTCGCCTTAGAACAGTCACTATTTGGAGTCTAGACAAAACTGATTAGATATAAAACCATCAAGATTTTCTGATACCTTGGCCAATAGGAAGGGAATTGTTGAGAAGATGAATGACACTGGAGCAGTGCCTAGTCTCAGTTAAAGACCCAATGTTTTATAAAGGAAACAGAAAGAGTAATGGAAAAACGCGATTTTGATCACTGCACACGAGGCAGTCCAATCAAATCAAACTCGGCATTAGCTGTAATCTTACCTTCACGGTAGTGAAGTTGCTGCTTTCTTGGACGTGGAGTAAAACGCCGTTCTCGCTCCTCGTCATGAACTTCACCTCCAAGCGCTCCACGCCCGGGCGGCCCGCGCCAGCGCCCCGAGCCCCAAGTCTCATCAGGTAGTCCCGCTTCTTGTTGGGGCTCATGTGGTAGTCGAGCCGCCATGCAGCCCCCCCATTCTTTGGCTTCCACCAGAATGTGTGTTTGAGAGTGGGAGTGTGCGAGTAATTTACTGCTGCTATCAGTCACTAGTAAATTAAAACTCGCTAGGGAACAAGTGAGGGAGTAGGGAAAAAAAATTTGGCTCTCAGAACTGTAATTCCTTCCCAAGGATGTTACTGTTTCCATTACTGCAAGCAGGGTTTCATGATATATTGAACTCTAAGCTCTTCAGGGCAGAGATAATGACTTTCTATTTGTTATGGCATTAAAAAAAAAAAGTGAATAAAAAAAGGCAGAGCACTGACTACCAAATGCTGTTAAAATTATGGCTAAATTCTTTTGTAAACCGGTGCAATAAAAGCATATAAATCAGCTAAACAATAATGGGACACGTAAAAAAACAAAGCCCAGTCATTATACTACAACTACATGGAAATAAATCACTTGGCCCTCCTGGACAATCCTATATTGATTTACAGGGCTACTCCTATGAAAGTGAATCACCCCCCAGCGTAAATGCCTTGTTTTCATTTACATTTACAATACTTTCTTGCATATAATCCACAGTCAATTTGATGAAAAGGACTTTAGTTTGGAGAATTAGGCACATGAACTCAATGTTTATGGGAAGGGGTTTTCATTTACCCTCTTACCTCCCCATAGCAGACAAATCCCTCCTATGGGATACTTTTATTTTAGTTACGGATTAAATGTTATCAGGAAGCAGGACTTTAAATGAGTGTGAGTTACCTGAAATGCGATATACAGACCAGAAGAAATTATGGATTCAGTTGTTGCCATTTTTAGCTCATGAAAGGACAAGAGTCCATTGTCCTTTCATGTGTGGACTTCTAAAGTACTTAAGAGGCAACACGCCGCTTGTTTTCATTATTCTATAAAATTCATTATCCCTCTAACTAAAATCTTAACGGCCTTTGGTTGAGCCACAGTTAGGTGTCTATTAAAGACAGTAAAACCTCCTCCTCACATTTTTCACAGTGCTTTCCCGTCAGTCCATCCTTGCAGTGACACTGCTGCCACGACCACTGATCGACACAAGTGCCACCATTCTGGCAGGGGCTGGTTGTGCAAGCACCTTCCAGTCTGGGACACCTGAAAGAAATCAGAAAAGTGGAGGCTGAATAAAGTGCACACGAATAAACAGAGCAAATGTGCTGGGAAGCGTCCTCTCTTTCAATGGTATTCCCTTTCCTCCCCTCAGAGATGCAAAAATGGCTCTTTTTCCCCATCCCTGGAAGTGTCCAAGGCCAGGTGGATGGGTCTCTGAGCAACCTGGTCTAATGGAACGTGTCCCTGCCCATGGCAGGGGGGTTGAAAAGGGATGATCTTTAAGGTCCCTTCCAACCCAAACCATTCTGTAGTTCTAAGAATCTCTGTAGACAGCTCAAGTTTCTAAGCAGATCCAAATTTTCAGCATCAGTTTATAGCAGTCTTACAAAAGAGGAAGGAATTCAGAGACAACCAAACTCCTACTATATGTTATGCAAGAGAGAAAAAACCCTTTTTGGCATTTTTTTATGCTGCAGACTGCCAGAGCCTTTGCATTACAATGACCAGCACAAACATGGGGGTTGGGAGAGGAAGTGAGAATGAGGAAATCTGGATGGAAGACCGACATTATTGCTACAACTGTGACTTCAAACAGTGAGATGGAAAAAACAATAGAATCGGATAGCTCATCATTTCTGAAAGGCCACTTGGAGGATACGAGGGAAAATTCAGTGATACTTGAGAGGCAAAGTGAGAGAACAGACATGGTGGATTAAGAGGAAACAAAAGTCAAAAAACACTATGAGCCAGTCAAAACCAGGTGGAATTTATAAAGAAACCCAAGAACAGGGGCTACTCAGTTTCAGCCTGCAAAGCAACTTGAATAACCACTGACAATAGAAATGTAATGATGCTGCTTTTTTTTTTAAGACTCTGTAATCTTTAGTGAGCCTTTAATCCAAATTCACTTTCTTCCTACATTTTTCACATTTTACAGCAGGTTCTACAGTAGTTTTTTTCTGACATGAAATATCTGTTGGTGTCTGAATGGAACGGCATTCATAAGAGTTTCCTTTATCGCATAATAAATATATAATATATAATATATAATATATAATATATAATATATAATATATAATATATAATATATAATATATAATATATAATATATAATATATAATATAAAATATATAATATATAATATGTAATATGTAATATAGTATAAAATATAAAATATATTGTATATTATATATAATATGTATAATATAATAATTATAATATAATGTATTATATATTATATTATTATATATTATATGTATGTATTGCATACATATAAATAGCAGACGTACTGATCTAAGATTCCTTGGGCTGCCAGAGCCTGGCTGGGCTCCAGGGGACGTCCATTGACAGCAAACTCCATTATGCAGCCCACAAAGTCATGGCTTTCCACCTGTCCTCTTCTCTGAAGGATGGGCTCTATGGACCTGATGCCACCAACAGTAACTCGATTTGGTTGTACATCCAGAGTCCTGTAAAAGAGAAGAAATAACCTATTGGTACCAGACACCAGGATAGTGACAACAGCACAGGAACTGCCACCACCAGCTACAGCCTGCAGGTAAAATTCTTCTTCCCAAATTGGTATTTTAGTTTTAAAGGGGAGACAGAAAGATCAGTAGCACTTGAACCAACAGTTATAGTGAGTATAATTCTAAATTCACACTCAGTTGGCATGTCAAAATTTCTGTTCAGTTGACTGAGCAGTGTGCTTGAGATCACAAGTAAGGTTTTTCACCCAAGTATATAATTGAGATTGTAGATGGTACTTAAATAGCGGGAAGATGGGCTCATTGTTTTACAAAGATGTAACACCTCTGCTAGCAGAGGAAACCCTGTGTGGCAGGAAACATGACTGTGATTATTGTAAGAAATAAGCCAAAGGGATTTGGATTAAAGTTACTGTTATCTCCAAAGATGTGACCCAAAGACTCCTGAGTTAGTTACAGTAAACATCAGAAATGAAGTTTGCTTTCTTTACTGGACACTGTTTATGAACTCAGAACTGTAACAGAAAACACCTGAAAACAATGTCAAAGATTGTCTGACAAATTATAAATACTGTTAATAGTTTTTTTTAACAACAGCACTAATCAGATGATTTTATTTCCTATGTCTTTATGAGTAAGAAGAGGTGCAGTTTAAATAAATACCTGACCCCGAATCATTAGGCAATAGCTATGACCCTCATTTATACCACAGTGTAGACTACTTATGGCCATGCATTTCCTGACTGCCACCAGAGGTTGGGGACAAAGATGGTGTCAAGAGCTGGGGATTTCTGAGAAAACTCCTTGTTATGATCTAGTTCTATGCAGAAATTAAGCCTGACCTAGCAAGCAGCAGCACACTCAGAAAATTTGATTTGCTTCTGCAAAGATGGAAGAAACTGACACTTGGGAGGAGCCTTATCATTATTCCAACTTTCTCTAGTTTTACAGGGAGATTTCTTCTTAACTTTACTTTTAATTTTACTCCAAAAAAAATCCCACATAAACCCCAAAACAACCCCACAGAAAGAAGAAATATTTACCAGTCAGTTGAAACAGCAACGTTGCTGACAGTGCAGTAGCCTGGCTCCTGGTCCTCAGAGCAGGAATCCACCGTCAGGGATGCTGCCTACAAAAGGCACGCATACAAATATGCTGAATATTACAAGGCTTTAGTCCCCAGCCACATTCACTATTTATGCTTAAGTGTATTATTATCAAGGACTTGGCTAGAAAGGAGCACTTGTGTTTATCATGGTGTCTGAAGCAGGGTGCTTTAGAGCCACTGCTCAACTCCACCCTCGGCCAGCACTGCATGGACACCACCAAGGCATGGATACAAACAGAGAGGGAGCCAATTGCTTCACACAGAGAAGCAGTTAAACACCAGTTTTTCACATTTGGGCAGGGTTTCTTTCGTATTTGTCTGCTTTACTCCTTGAAACTGAAGTTATTTTGGCTCATACCATATCCTATTCCTGATATGGTTCAGATAATCTGAGCGAAAAGCTCAGCCCCCTCCATTCACAAAGGGCGTTCCTTCAGGGGCTTTACCGTGACATTAAACATATTGAACTTGATAAAAAGCATGTTACAAAATCTGGGAGTACAAACACTGAGATTCCTAGTTAAAAATAATGACCCTGGGAGTAGAAACACTGAGATTACTAGTTAAAAATAATAACCAACCTCTCCATAAAACTCAAAAGGTAACCAAGTGGACCAGCTTAAGGTATCTCCTTGACTAAGAGGTCATGAAGGATCTCAACTTTGATAATGGAGAAGCATCTGGACACCTAGGGTGGGACCAAGCTGATGTCTGGGGAAGTACCAGGCATTACCAGTTCTTAGAGCAGTCTTACTCTTTATTATTATTGTTATTATTATTATTATTATTATTATTATTATTATTATTATTATTATTACTGTTGTTGTTGTTGTTATTGTTATTATTGTTATTATTGTTATTATTGTTATTACTACTACTACTACTACTACTATTACTATTATTACTATTATTACTGTTACTATTTTTATCCCCAAACCATCAAGTCCCAGACAACAAGGTTGCCTCAGCCTGGTCTAGTGGAAGGTGTCCTTGCCCATGACAGGGGGGTTGGAACCAGATGATTTTTAAAGTTCTTTCCAATCCAAACCATTCTGTGATTCTGAGACTACCCATACAACTTATTTACACTAAAGCTACTCATGGCACTTCTACTTGTGATCTATAAAAGTCCAACCAAAGCTGTCACTAAAATCATGAAATAACTCCTGCTGGTTTAAAAATGAGTTTTTATTTTATTCCTTATTTAGCAAAGAATTGTCCCCACAGTGATTTATTAATAACAGATGCGCTGAAAAAAAAAAAAAAAACAAACCCAACCAACCCTGAAGGTTAGTTATTCCTCAAAACAAATTTTCAGAAAAATAAACATAATCTCCACATTGTACATTTCCTCATGTTTCAGCTAGATGTGTGGTACAGTTTTACAGCAAATTTAAATCAAACGCCACCTTCAGAAATGCCTGGGTTTATATTTTGATTTGGATTGCTCTGTGGGAGCTGAGCAAGCAGCACTGGCTATCAGTACATCATTACTCTGCAGAGGTTTTTTCTACTGCCTGCAAGTAAGTTTGGTAACAACAGCCTGTTGAAATCCCCACAGATTGTCCATGCTAGTTCCAAATACACGCTGCACGCTGACACACTGTATTGACCAAATAAATTCAGAGCTCTAGGCCCTAAATCATGCCCTACAGTACGATTAAATTGTTCAATCTGCTATTTTTAATGGAAGCTTATCTTGAATTTCTTTCCATACAAATGAGCAAAGTGCTTCTCCCAAGAAATGTCAGTCTGCAGCTCCAAAGCAGATTATAGCCCTGCATAAATGAAACAATTCAGAGAAAGAATAATAAGCTGGCTGCTCTGTATGCCACCACATGCATACATATTTTTCTTCAGAACATCAACAACAAAAACTGAAATGAGTTTTTTGTTCTTAGCTCAATCAGCATAATCTCCCTAACTTACATCGCTATGTGCTCTGCAAGCCAAGCTCCAGCCCCAGCTGAAGGGCTGGATATTTGAGAATATATTTTACTTGGACCAGAGTTCATACAATTTATTTTCTAATGTTAGTCAAATGTTCCTGCTTGTTACTTAAGCATTACTCTACAGTTACCTTGCCACATTATGAGCCTTTCTATCCTGTCACTTTGCAATAGCTCAGGACTGACAACTTAATGATTTTACCAGTTTCCGATAAAATCCCACTGTGCTGTAGGAAATGACAGATTTGGAATCCTGAAGGGGGCCTATTTTATACAGTTTTGGACACCTGGGAGACATTTTTCCTGCAGCAGAAATATCTAAGACAAAGGCAATTCTCTTCACATACTGTTTGTAAACAGTTGACTTTACTGAATAGGTTTAAACATTAAAAACAAACCAACAAAAAAACCCCACACAAAGGTGTAGGTTGTCTTAAATATTTGCTTTTAGCCTGAAGCAGTCGTAGCTGAAAATATTTCTATAAATAGCCCTTTTTATGTTCTCTCTTCTTCTATAGTCCTCTGGCACACTGACAAGTAAAACATTTTCTTTCTCTGTTTTTTTTCCTTCAGTGTATTCATTTATTTGTTGCAACTTTTACTCTGTGCCCCTATACTTAGCCATTTACATCTTATTTATAGAAGTAACATTCTACTTTAGTTACTAAAATGGGAACCTTGTGCACGTCAAGATTAAAGTGCACATTTGGGCTTTACCATTAGGAAGCTGTGATGTAAATTATTAAATTTGCAAGATGCAAATTGATATCTGGTATCAAAGCACATTAAACCAAAGCCATTGCTCAACATCACAATAATCCTTCATCTTGTTTGGATATGTAAGTCCTAAGAACACACTCAAATTGGATTTGCAAATCCAGCTGAAGACTGGATTTCACAGAACCATGGAATCCTTAATGTTGAAAAATATCTGCAAGAGTCCAACCACTAAGCCAGCACTGTCAAGGCCAGCACCAATCCATGTCCCCAGGTGCCACATCTACACATCTTTTTAATACCTCCAGAGATAGTGACTCCACCACATCCCTGGGCAGCCTCTGCCAGGCATTGACAGCCCTTTTGTGGAAGAGCCCTTTACTGCTATTCAAGCTAAACCTCTTCTGCTGCAACTTGAGGCCGTTTCCTCTTGTCTGTTGCTTGTAACCTGGGAGAAGAGACCAACACCCAAAATAAATGAGATACCAGGTCTTGCACTGTGAACTGAAATGGAGTTTCAAGACTCTGCAAGGGCTAGAAGGGAGCCACAGTGGGTAGAAGAGTTTATCACTTTTATTCCCTTCATCTCTTCTAGCTCGAAATACACAAAACAAAATTGGGAACCCCACCATATATTACTGTTCTGTGACTTTAATTTCAAACATGGGAAGAATACGGAATTCCACGTACGCCATTTCTGCCCGAGAAGGGAACTGTTGGGCAATAGTTACTGATTATGGATGGTAAATAGACTTGGTTTCATTTCTAACTCAAACACTGTGGAGTCAGAAAACTTGGCTGAGATTCAAAGACCATTTGGTTTATGTTCTGCTTTGGAAGTAGTATTAAAAAATGAGAGAAAAGGAATAGAAAACGTTTTCTGGAGAAAAAAATAAAGGCAGGAAAGGGGTCAAGAGTGCCAGGCACATTGGCAATCATTTGTCCCAGTTTTTAGCAGAGTTCCTCACCTCATATGCATTCTGGGGAACAAAAAGAGAAATAACTTCCCACTTTCCCCTCAAAATATTTTCTTAATGTTGCACCTTTTAACTCTTCACATGTGTACTAGAGAGGAAAACCAGGCTCTTACAAGATTGCTAAAATCTCTGAATTAGCTCAAGGAGGTCATGGATGCTTAGAATTTTAAGTTTGTCCACTTCTATTTTCCAAATGTTGAGAAAAACTATTTTGAGGCTTTTTGCAATTATTGTGGTTAATTAGCATTCCCCGATAGTCATCCCCGTAATCTACACCAGTTAATTAGCCTCGTGCGTAGTCATCTATGTCATTAATTATTCCTGGCTCTCATTTTTCACGTTGAGAGTATGGGGGCACTTTGCACATGCCTTTTCCATTATACTTTATCATCATCATCCTAAACAAACCACCACAGGGCTTTGAGTCAGTCGGAACGAGGCAGAAACAAAGGAGATTTTTCCCAAAGTTGGAGTTTCTGCTAGCAAACGCAATGCCACTGATTTTACTTTCCTCTGTGTCCGCCTGGAAGCCAACTCAAAAATCCTCATCTTAGCGTTGCTTACCATTCCAGCCCGGCGGGCAATGACGGTGTGGAACTGTCCGTCAGACACCTTCTTAGCTGTGGTGAGCTTGTAGGTGCCAGTGCCCAGGTTGTAGGAGAACCTCAGCCTCCCTTCCGCTATCTCCAGCGCCAGGAATTCCGCCCGCTCTCCTGTTTGGTTGTCGTAGTTATACAGCAGCAAGGCGTTACTCTTGATGGTGGCAAACTTGATGTAGATGTAGTTGTTGTTGGGATCCATACTGGGGAACTCCATGTAGGACAGCTCTTCAAATCCGTAGCTGTTGAGCTCGCAGTGATTCCCAAAAACACCTGAAAAACGAAAAGCGATGCCCGGAATTGGGGATTTTTTTCCTCACCGCGCGTTCTCCTAGGAGCGAAGTGTGGATGTGGTCTTGACACAGCGGTGGAACCTCTAATGTACAATTAAATTAATGCACAATTAAAATCACACAACCAACAGAAGAATGCTATTACCCACAGCTGGGTGCTGAGGTACATGATATTCAAACTTAAAAAATCGAGTTACAAAGGACAAGGATCTATTGGAAAGCATTTCGTCGAGCTCCGTGGCTTCTTTGGAAAACACCAAACCAAGCCAGTTTGACAGCTCTGTCAAGACATGGCTGCTAATTATCATCAGGCATTTATTAATCCAGCTGTGGAAATCAATGTGCAAGTTGAGTTAATTTTTCGTTCTGCGGCTCTTATCCCAACTGTTTCTCACTGGGTGGTTCACTTGTCATACTTATGAAATAATGATATGTGTGATTAAAATATTATGTCTTCTCATGTTTTTACTGATATGAATATTCTGGTGCATTCTACATACTACTTTTCAGATCTCTGTCCCATAATTTCCCTTGATTTTTCTTTTACTTCAGCAACAATGGGAAAAAAACCCTGATTTAATTTATGAAGATTAGTTAAATTTACAATGGGAAATTAATAAACCCTGAGGAAAAGTACAATGAAGGAAAGAAATGGGAATAGAGAAATTATTCCACATGTTAACAGAAAAACTTAATTCAGCATTACAAATGTATATTGAGAACTATACTTTTGTGAGAGGGTTTTCAGCAACCTTAAAACACTGTAGATGATTTCTGCACATTTCTGGTTTTTTTTATTAATCTGTAACATTTACATTCATACTTTTCCATATGAAGAATGGCAGTTCTGGATTAATCTGCATTCAGAATCAATCTTGCTGCAATTGTGTCATGATGCCTTAAAATATCCATGTTGTTCTATGTTTTTATTGGGTTCATTCCACAAACCAAATCTGGGATAATTAAATTCTAAAAATTATGAAACTATTTTGGCACTACTATATGCTTCTCTGATGTAAAATACTGATGTTATTTACAGTGGTCTTACTCTTCAGCTCCACTAAAAGTGCCTGTTATTCATCAGGAGAGCCTTGTTATCATCATACCTCCTCCTTCAGACTGAACTTTGGATATTCTTGGTTGTGAAGGTACTTTAGCCTTGATCCAGCTGTGGTTGAGCTAAGTTTCTTCTTTAGGAAGCCAATGGTCTTGAATTAAGTATTTCAAGCATCCATTCTTACTTTTGGACAGTTATATCTATCTATCTATCTATCTATCTATCTATCTATCTATCTATCTATCTACTGTCTATCTGTCTATCTGTCTGTCTATCTATCTATCTATCTATCTATCTATCTATCTATCTATCTTATCAGAAATATTCTTTCTGATTTTTAAGCACTGAGTTGTTTGGCTGGGTCTTATGTTTTTGTGTGAGAGAGAAAGGACCTGCTACTAGGAATGACAAATACGTATTTGTAGTGACCACATCACTTTTTCATTTTCTTTTAAAGAAAAATGAGTTAGATGAACCTCTAAATACAGGCAGTTTTTCCAAACCTTGAAACATTTTCAAACCAGAAATCATTTATGCAGATAAAAATAAATAGAAATATGAATAGGGAAAGGGGAGATGAAGAGGAGGGTACTTACCGAAGGGACAGTGGCAGAAATACCCCTCCAGCCCACTTTGGCAGGACCCACCATTGAAACAGGGGTTGCACTCACAGTAGTTGACAGTGGAGTCACACGTTTTCCCTGTGATAAGCAAACAAAAGCAATTTCCAGGTCAGACTGTTCAGGGAAATAGGAAAGTCAGGCTGGTGCAGTAGGTAATGAGGTTATGAACCAATGCTGAACTCATGGCCAGGAGACAGGGTGCCAGGGACCAGCTCTGGGATGGAGAGAGGAATCACAGACAGGATGCTGGGCTGCTCCCAGCCCTGTCATAGGCATAATGTGTGGCCCAGAGAAGGTAACCTTGTTTCTCAAGTGAATCATTGTGATTATAGGTAGTAGTGGACTGTTGTTTTAACTGAATTGAATTTTATTATTTATTTTATTAACTGGTGTCTATGAATGAAAGATAGCACAATTAAAGGCAATGCTGAACTGAAGAACTGCAAAAAAAGCATCTTTTTTTCTCCCCATTGAGTGCCATATGCTCATGAGTGCAAAGGAGATACAGACAGCCCTTGGTGGACCCTACACAAGCAGGTCATGCTGAAGAGAGGCTGCTATTGTACATTATATGACATCTATTAATTTTCCTCATCAATTACAACCTCCTTCCTGACTTAGAGAGACCAGAGTCCTCTGGAGCTAAAAAAAGCTACCCTGGATACAGTCCTTTCCTAAGCAGACATTGTCACATGTGGTAAATATTATTCCCCAGAGAACAAACTAGAATCACATAATTCATTTTAGCAAGGAAGGGAACCAAGAGAAGAAGTGAAGATTTTAACAGACACCAAATACGGACACACGTCTTCCTTGTACGAAACTAAAATTTTCTTTGTACAAAACTTTCTTTGTATGGAAACATTAACTACAAAAATATTCATTTCTAAGGTTTTTCATTGTTTGGCTTTGATGAGTACAGCAACACTTCCACTACATCCCGCTCCTGGAACCTCTCACCCCTCTGCCAGCAGTGCCAGCCTTCACTGCCTGTGCTCAGCAAAAACTTAAAAGTATTGTTATGTTTGTCCTCCCTGCTTCACTGCAAGAATTCACAAAACCAGCCACAGTCCTCCAAACTTCTGAACTTCATCTCAGCCAGTCTATATGCACAAAGCAAGGGCTAAGATTGTCTTAAAGCTTCTTTTTTTGTGTTGATAATTAATTACTTTATTTCTTACACCATATGTATACGTTTAAGTTAAAAGTACAACATGAGCTTGCACAGAGGGTGTCCGTTCTTGTATGTCACATATATCTTGTAATTTTACATCTCCCATGACAGGAATGCACTACAGGCAGTCCTTAGAGGTTGCTGGTGCTTAAAACTGTAGAAAAGCAGGAGTGTGCTTTAGGAACTCTGCTAACTTTTTCAGGGTTTAACAGCTTGAGTCACCTAATGAAGAAAACCTCTTGTTTTTCCCCCCCTCTTCTAGTTTTCTGTTTAACCTACAGTTTGCAAGCAGCTCTTCCATGTGAGCAGCAGCCCTCCATGTGTGACTGCAAGCGGGATGGAAATGGAGCGCTGGAGGATTCCTGCGGTTAATACGTCACTTGTAGATGCACCATAAATCCAGGAAACTTTTCCAGTGTCTGAATCTAATTATGCTTTGGGGGCATTTATTTATGTTTTATTCTCTAATGGGCATGACTGAAGGATGAGCTAACTTTTTATGTGAGATTTTGCTGTTTTCTTTGTTTTCAATTTATGGTCCGTAGTAGAGATCCTTGACTTACAAAGGAGAGCACATAGCAAGAGTGAGACAGACATGCTTAAAATAGCTCAGCAATGCTGCCTAGTTTTCCCAAAAGTCAAGTGTAGCTAATAAGGCTTACTCAGATTTTTGCAGTTCAGTCTAACTAAACACTCCTCTTTTTCTCAGCTAGCAGTAAAGCTGGCACACTTGCTGAGTCAGCAAGAGAATATGGATATTTATTTCAGCTGCACTTTTACCAGCGTTATAACAGCATCTTCTTTATGCTTAACTATTGTTTGAAGAGTTCTTGAAACCAATAGAAGTGTGCTTAGAATAAGAGAATTATGGAATCATAGAATGGTTTGGGTTGTAAAGGGCCTTAAATACTACCTTGTTCCAACCCCCTGCCATGGGCAGGGACATCTTCTGTAAGACCAAGTTGCTCAAAATCCCATCCAAATTGGCCTAGATGAAAATTGAAGTTAACTGAGTTTATAGATCAATTCTCAGCTGAAATTCTGCAAGATGCAAGGTACTCATTTCTGCATCAGAAAGATCTTTTTCTAAAGACCATGAAAATTAGGAGAATGCTGGATAATTGGTAACAGACAGCATTCAACATTTATCATTCATCACCTCCAGCTGATGCTATCACAGGCAGGGGCTTATGCAAAAATCTAGAGTTCCTCAGACTTTTTTTTTAAGTGAAAAATGTAACAGGAACAGATACCAGCTGCATGCTCTTGAGTTAAGATTTCAGCTGATTTGAGAGTTACCGTTTTTGTGGTTCTCTGTGTCCATCTTTTAAAGTGGTTGTTCTAATATTCTAATTGTTTTTGCATTTGAAACAACTTCACAAACCTACATTCCTTCATCTTAATGAATCCTGGAAAACAGGAAATGAAGGGTTCAAAGGAAGGGCAGACAACTACTGTAAATCACCAAGCATATTCCCTCCAGAAAGTGATTGTTTTAAAAACAAAACCTGTTCATCATTAAGAGATATAATTATAACAGATTGTTCAAACCCTAATGATGTTGCTCTGAGGTAATCAGTCTTTATAATCCTATACAGCACAAAGAATGTCATTACCTTTTGCAGCATGATGAAGTGAAATGCAGCTGACAAAACACAGTAAATCAAGGAAAAGTAAGACTCTCAGTTTTCAGGTATGCCATTATAAAGGTCTACAGCTCATGTACTCTAATTTACAGTGAACAGAGAGTCTGTCCCAGAAAATACTAATTTCTACTTGCATGCACTACCATGTAAATGATTTTTTTTTTTTTTTACCAAGCATGCAAATTCAATTATGAGACTGTATTTTCATTCCAGCAGAAGCAGCAAAGCTATGTCTATGTGGAACTGAATTAGAAATCCACTAGTTTGGATGAGTGTTTTTTGTTGCTGTTGAGGCACTCAAAGCTTATATTCATGAAGAAAGAGTTTGAGGCTTTATTTTTACATCCACTGTGGCTATCTTTAATCACATATGAATGGAAATTAAGAGCCCAAGCAGCTGTGTTCTCTTTGTGTTGGCAGTATTATAATGACTTAATAGCCTCTATGTCAAGCATTCTCAAACAATCAGTACACTGATATTTGTTTGCAGAACCTATTGAATATTTAATTTGCAGAATTTCAAATATGCTTTTGCAGACATAAAATGTCTAAATATACTGTGTGTTAATTTTGATCTTATCTAAGAAGCTCTGTTCATATTAAACTCCAAAGATATTTTGTCTTTTAATTACACTGGTGCCATTTGTTTTCTGTCTTGATCAATTAATCTCAGGACACTGTAATAACTCTTGATTCTGCAATGGCCAACTGATTAAACAACATCTGACTCCCAAACAGAAATGTCTGCCTCAGTGGCAGTCTTTTTTAAGGTTATTTGTGTTGACAAGGAGTTTAAGAAAGCTTCTATCAGATGCCAAATTTAATTCATGGCATGAAAGAAATCCAACACTTCAAACTCTAAGAGTCTCTCATCACATTCTCTTAGTAAAAATACTCATCTTTTTTTTGAACTTGTCACATGCAGAGCTTGATTTTTAGCTGACATAAGGGTTGAGCATTAAGGTGCGAGCTTGAATACCAGAAGAAACCAGCTGGATGCTTCATAAATGTTTCAAATTACAGTCCAGAGGCAGACACTGTAGTTTGCTGCTAGAGTTAATGAAGTGTTTTGCTTCACTGCAACAGCAAACACATGCCTGTGTACTCTCTGGTGCTAATGACTTCAAGAGTTACAGGGCATAGGTGCCCTAGAATTATTTTGCCATGCTCCTGGCAAAATAATTTGATGTGCTAATACAACATGAAATAAACTCCTGGATTGGTAACTTAATTAGAACTGCTTGTCAATTAACAACAGTTGCTCCTGACCTGAGGCTCACAAGCGTATTTGAGAGGTTCATGCTGAAGATCTCATCTGCATCCTTGATGCTGCACTCAGTATGCAACCACTGCTGCAGCTGTGGTTTAAATTTACTGGTTAAACCTTTACTTTTAAATTAATTGACTTTCTCCTCCATTCTCTCTAGTGAAAAACCCAGAAGAACAGCAGATCCCCTGATCCTTCCATGGATTACAGGTGAGTTGTGGTGGTGGCAAGTCCCACAACAGAATGGACAACAGCTGTGCTGAGCTGGACTGCCCTGGGGCTTCTGCAATACAGAAATACTCCTTAGAAAAGGCACTGAAAGCCTTACCTAATCTCCTCCAGTTAGAAATTTTTTTTTTCTGATTTCTATAAAAAGTGGCTATAAGCACTGGTTACAATTGCTCTGACCTTCCTTAAATATCCCACTCATGGCAGAAGCAAAGGCCAGCTCTCTTTTCTAGCATTACAGTGCTGTTGTGTTTGAATGTGTAATAAATATCAGAGAAGAAACACACAGAAGGGGTAGGAATGCTGCAGACATTTCTGTGCTTAATGAAAAAAATAAATGACAAAGGGACAAAATACAAAACAGAGAGGTTGACCATTTTGCCCAAATTCTTGTTTTTCCCATATCCTTCATCTGTTTTCTGTCCTGCAAGTAATTTGGGGCAGAGGCTGATTTTCTTGCTTGGCACACTTCTAGCAGACTTGAAATGCTCCCACAATATGCATAACAATAACATGTACAGAAAAATCATACTTAAGCACTGGAAATGGTTTCCACACATTTAAAAAATGTAAATAGCTCTCGCAAAAAACTTTCTGTTCTAATGCAAATCAGGTAAGTGAGACTTGCCTTGAGAGAGAGCTAAAATAAAATAATACTGCAGGCACCCAGTCTTCTGAGTTTTCACACTATTTACACCTCATTTTGCATGACCTCTTCATCTACTGGGGATGCTTGGGTTCAGACAATCTTGGGTGAAGAAGGCACATCTCCACACTCACCATCTTTTCTGGACTGTAAGGCATAGAGGAGTAAAAGCATACCTGTGTACCCCGTTTTACAAACGCAGTTGAAGCTTCCTGGGAAGTTCTGGCAGGCAGCACCATTTTTGCAGGGGTTGGAAAGGCACTCGTTGATGTCCCTCTCGCAAGCCATGCCGGTGAAGCCCTCGGGGCAGCTGCAGGAGAAGCCCCCCACCAGGTTGTGGCAAGTGCCGTCGTTGTGGCAGGGCGACGGGAGGCACTCGTCGATGTCAGTCTCGCACAGGCTCCCGTCGTAGCCCGGCAGGCACCTGCACACGAAGGGCCGCAGCGGCTCGTTGGCCACGATGATGACGGGGACGCTCTCGTGTGTCCTCAGGGCCGGGCTCACCGCCAGCCTCCTCAGGCAGCTCCCTCCGTTCTGGCAGGGGTTCTGCAGGCACCAGTCGTAGTCCACAGCCTCGACCCGCACCCCGCTCTGGCGGAAGAGGACGTCCTTGATGCTCTCGAAGAAGGTGGCCACCCCGCTGGGGTTCACGTACTGGTTGTTGCCACGCTTGACGGCCGCCATCAGGAAGGTGTGGTTGCTGTCCTCATACAGCCCGTAGAGCTGGATGGCCGTGCCCAGCCCCGTCAGCTGGGAGCTGGCGATGCGCAGGAAGTGCAGGTAGTGGTTGTTCAGGAAGTCCCGCACGCTGTGGGCGCTCAGGCGAAGGAGGACGCTGTTGTCGATGGTGGCGTTGCTGAAGCCCGCAAAGAAAATCCGGACGCTGCTGGTGACGGCCCCGTGTAGCCCATCATTGCTGAGGACGGCCAGGTCAAACGTGCCATCCGTGGACCTCGCCTGCGAGTGCAGCTCACAGGTGCCCCTGGGAATGCTGAAAAGGCTGGTGACTCCTGAGGTGAGGGAGCACTGGAAGCTGTCTAGCACATCTGGATCCTGCGGCTTTACGTTGCCTAAAATTCCACCTGGGAAGAGGTTGCCATAATAATGAACAAAGATTTCCACTGTTCTGGGCTGAGATGGGTTGTCGTTTTGGTCTATTACCTTGATCTGCACAGTTCCTGTGGACGACATCTGAGGAACGCCAGAGTCCCTCGTAATCACTGAGAGGTAGAAATCGCTGATTTGCTCCCTGTCAATCTCCCTCGTCGTTGTCAGGACTCCAGCAGTGCTGAGGCTGAAGTAGCTGGTGGCAGGGCCAGTGCTAAGCAGGTAATATGTAAAAGGACCTTGGTTGGGAGGGAGGTCGGGATCTGACGACTGAAGCGTCATCACCAGAGTTCCTGCGCGGTTGTTCTCCAGGACTTCTCCTTGGCTGGTGGACAAGGTAGGGCCATTGTCGTTGATATCTTCCAAAGTTACCAGCAGAGAGGCACTTCCTGTCGCAGAGGGCGTTCCCGAATCGATGGCCAGCACGGACAGGTTGTAGACAGGCAGCGTTTCTCGATCCAGCTCTGCAGTGACTGTCACCTGTCCCGTCTGTGGGTTGATGGAAAAGGCGCTGTTCTCATTGCCAGACCCGATGAAATAGGAAAACCTGCTCCAGCTGGGGACAGAATCTGAATCAAAGGCACTGACAAACGTGACATGGGTGCCTGGAGGAACACCCTCGCTGATCCGTATATTGTAGGTTCCCAAGGTAAAGACAGGAGGATCGTTGGCATCCAGGACTGTGATATTAACAGTTACTTCATCTATATCTGCACCACGAATGCTCCCCAAATTTTTTGCAAGGACTTTCAAAGAGATTCGTTCTTCCTTTTCTCTGTCAAGAGGTCCTGAAACGTAGATCTGGCCACTTTTCTCATCTATCTGGAAGCCCTTCTTTCTGCTGTTCCCAAAGATGAGGTAGTGGACTTCTCCATCAATTCCCATATCACGATCACTTGCAAAAACTTCACCTACAACAGTACCTTTGGAGGCTGCCTCTGAAACCTCAAAATAATAAAGCTTGGACACAAAACGGGGCACATACTCATTTGTCCCTTCTAACTGGATGTTGACAGTAGCAAAGCTGCACCTCTCTTCATCTGGAACATTAAAAGCCTTTACCGTTAAATGGTAACTCTGCTTTGTTTCATAATCTAGGAATCCCTGGGTGGTGATGGTTCCCGTGTTGGGGTCAATGACAAAGAGGTCGCTGTCTGAGGACTGGATGGCATACGCAATAACGGCGTTAGACCCAGAGTCAGCATCAGTGGCGTTCAAACAAATTACAGTTGTCCCACTGGGGGCGTTTTCTAACACGGTGGGAAAGTACTCCTCAGGGCTGAACGCTGGGGAGTTATCATTGACATCAATGACATTAACAGTGACGCTGCAGTAGCCTGTTCGGGACACCCATCCTCCATCCGTGGCGGTAACAACCAGCTCGTGCTTTTGGTGTAACTCAAAATCCAGTGGTTTGGCTAGTGTCAATGTACCGGTGGTTGTATTAATAGCAAAGATTCCAGCTTCATTTCCAGAGGAAATATTGTAGCTGATTAATCCGTTCATGGCAGCGTCTCTGTCTCGTGCTGAAACCGTCCTGACCACTGTTCCAACAGAGTAGCTCTCCGGGATAGTAACGCTCATGCGGCTCTGGGAAAACTCAGGTGTGTGGTAATTTTCTTCTGTCACCACTATTTCAACAGCTACCTCGGATGAGAGTGGGGGATTACCCTTGTCCTTGGCTTTCACTTTAAACAGGAAGTTTTTGTTCAAATCAGCCATTAGTGAAGATGACACAGAAATCCAGCCTGTACTCCTGTCCAGTCTGAATTTATTAGTTTTGCCTTCATCAGAAATGAAGTACTCCACTTCAGAATTCAAGCCAAAGTCCTTGTCATCCACAGCAGTAACTTTAATTAAATTAGTGCCAACCCTCACGTTCTTAGTAACAGGAGTGAAATATTTAGGAGCGAGGAAGAGCGGAGCATTGTCATTGCTGTCTACTATGTTTATGGTGACGGTGGTCTCACTCACTAACGGGGGACTGCCCCGGTCTGACGACGTCACGATGAAGCTGTGCCTGTTGATGTTGACATTGCTGGAACCGCTGGAGTTTTGGTACCTCAAGTACTGCTTGTTGAAAATCTCTCCAGTGGTGGCGTTAATGCGGAAGAACTCGGACTGGGATTTTATGAAGTAGAAGACTTGACCATTGGACCCTTCATCTGGATCGGTGGCTGACACCTGGGTGACCTTTAGCCCAATGCCGGGTAGCTCAGGACACTCCAGGTAATAGGATGGCTTTGTAAACCGTGGGGCATTGTCATTGACATCTGTGACAAATATGGTGACATCTGTGCTCACCGTCCAGCCTGAGTCATGTGCAGAGACCCTGATTCTGTAGCGGTCGGTGTCCTCCCTGTTCAGTGGTCTGCTGATGGTGATGTCCCCGGTGCTGGGGTTGATGGTAAACGGGAGACTCGTATCCCTTATGGAGTACCTGCTGACGGCGTTCACCCCAATGTCCTCATCTGATGTTGTGACTCGTGTCACTGTAAAACCCAGAGGTGCATTTTCAGGCACAGAAGCACTGAATATCTGTGAAAACCTCGGAGCATTGTCATTTTCATCTAAAATGTTAATGATAACTTTGACAGTCGTGCTCTGGAGCGGAGTGCCTTTATCCGAAGCTTTTATGGTTAGTGTGTACTGAGACAGTTTCTCCCTGTCCAAGGGCCGGACACTTCTGATCTCACCAGTGGCTCGATTGATACTGAAACTGTTCTCGGTATTGCCCTCAATTATTTCATAATTCAGCTGTCCATTTAGACCACTGTCTCTGTCGACAGCAGCCACCGTCAGTATCTTCCGTGGGGACAGGTTCTCCGCTATTTCCGCAATGAAAGGATCTTGCTCAAACTCTGGCACGTTATCGTTGACGTCAATCACCGATACTTCCAATTTCTTATATGAGGAAAAGGGGGGGAAGCCCGTGTCTCTGGCCTCAATCCACACCACGTATTTCTGTACGGCTTCGAAATCTAAAGCCCGCCCGACAGAAAGCTGTCCTGTCACCTGGTCCACCAGGAAGGTGCTGCCCAGGTTACCGCTGGCGATGTAATAGGACAAGGAGCCTCCTCTGGCTGAAGATCCAGAGACGGTGGTGACAAGTGTCCCAACAGCTTGGTTTTCAGGGAACGTGAAGGTCTCCTGCTCCGCCTGAACACGAGGAAATTTGGCTTTGTCCACAAACCTCACGGTGACGGTGGTAGAGTCTGTCTTGGGGTACCGGCCGCCATCCCTCACGTGAACAGAAATGGTGACTTCGGACTCTCCCGCCAGTGGTTTTGCAGCCAGGATTGCCCCCCTTGCTGGATCAATGTGGAATTTCTCAGAGTTCTTCCCCACGAGGGAATAATGGAGCTCGGCATTGGAGCCGGCATCTGCGTCGGTGACAGTCACGGCAAACACGAATGAGCCTGAAATGGAGAAGAAAGCTAGGTCAGTCCCTTCATGAATGCACTCCCTGTGAGAAACATGATCCCAGCCCTTCACTAGGAAGCACATGTGGGAGCAGCACGCTCTTCCTCAGACTGCCCTGAAAACAAACTGCCTTTTTCACAAAAAAAGTGAGTTCAGCAAGGGGCAGGCGAGCCTGTGAGTGCACAAGACATGCACACAGCCAAAAACTGTTGAATTGAAAAATAGGGCACTGCAGTCAGAGAGATGGACGTACAGATCTCAGTAACTGGGAAACAGACCTGCAGCTTTTTGGAGGCCTAGCATCCTGCTTCTAGAACATTCACACAATAAAAACCATAAACATAAAGTAAGATTGAATGCTATTTTGATTTTTAAAATTACTCTTAGCCTATTTATCCATGAATAAACTTCACCCTGGAATTCAAGGACTAACGTAAGTGAACAGACAGTATTCACAGACATTTACCCTACACCACCATCCCTTGCAATCCCTTCTCTTCCTATTCCCCTGATGCTGCTCCTTTCTTCCCACGGGCCCCTTACTTCTAATCTTCTAAGAGTACTCCAAGGACAGTAACTAAGAGGACTGCATTTTTAAAAACACACCGTTAAAACAGAAATACAAAACTATTGCACACTAGTTCAATAACACGATTACACTCAGACTTTTCAGTCTTTTCAGAACATAAATCTTTTGAATTTGTGCTTCACAACAAGCTTGACTGTATGGGCACCATTTGCACTATCCTCTACATTTGCCCACTTTCAAGGAGAACCCAGGATATTCTTCTTCACCAGACTTTACAGATGTAATGTCTTTCAAATTTGACACTGTCCAACCAATTTGCAGAACACTTTTGATGTTTTACTGTTAGAAAAATTTAGAAAATGCCCAGTTTTGTATAAAAATCATGCTGTTTTCAACCTCTTAAGGGAAAATCATTTACAGGCAGGAATGATTTTGACAGCATCCCTTAAAACTATACTTCATGTCACTATTTGTCATGTGCAGCGATTTGTACTCCAGGGGCAAGAATATTTAGACATGAACAGTATTCAAACCCCTGTGAGAAATGGGACAGGAAGAAATGAAGATTTTGTGCTTCAGTTACTCAAATTATAATATTAATATTATTACTGATTCCCTTCTTTAAAATCGATTAAAAAATGCCAAAAATAAATGAAAGTTGTAAATAAGAAAAGTGGATACATCCCTAGATTTTTGCTAAGTTAAAAACAGAATAAACATAGCTTAGGTTTCTGGTTATAAGGGATTTCATACAAAAAGCACCCAAAAAGATACTGCCAGAAAACATCAAGTCTACTCCTCGTGAAAAGAATTTAAAGAAACACCCCAAAAACAACCAAACAAAGGCACTGGTCAGATTACATGAAGTTTCACCAATGCAATAATAGAACAATTTCATAATGTTATTCTGGAAACAGAGAAGAACTGTAAACATATTCATTCTTCCATAAAAAGAAGAAGTATTTGCAATTGTTTAAAATTAAGAGACAAAATCCAAGTCATGGAAATAAGCTTTTTTTTTCTGTTAAATGAAAATTTATTTTGTAAACCATTCATCATGGAATCCTCTCCGTAGGCATCACATATCCATGTACGTGTATGTATGTAAAAACATGGAACATAAATTGAACCAGAAATTACCTCCTGTGCTGAGTGAAGTAACTTTAATTTGGGCGTAGGCTCCACAAAAGGAAGATTGCTGCTTGATTACTTTTATTTTATTTTACTTCACCACTTGGCTCAAGGAAAGGCAACATAATTAACATCTGACACAGACACGGCATTTTTGAAAGAGGTTGTCAAAATCCTCTTTAGGAATTGCTCAGAGGAGACTTTCAGAAATAAAACAGGCCATTGTCCTCCTAACCCTGGCAAAATAATAACTTTTTGAGTGGGTGATCATTTACAGTATGTCTACTTTACGTAACTACAGGAACATAATTGAATTTGGATGGGAGGAACACGATAGAAAAAAACCTAGCTTTGTTATTCCTAATTCCCAGTGCAGATAATACCAGGAAAACTGCTGCAGAGGAACATCTCAGGAACACTTCTGGTGGCACAGCTTTGCATTTCTTTAAGATGCTGCCCAGAGAAGCTGTGAATGCCCACCCCTGGAAGCGTTTGAAGGCCAGGTTGAGACGGGACTTTGAGCAATCAGATTTAGTGGAAGACGTCCCTGCCCATGGCAGGTGGGTTTCTACTAGACAATCTTTAAGGTCCCTTCCAACCTAAACCATTCCATGAGTCTCTGTTTATGGAAGTGCTTTTATCCCAAGCAGTGCTGGTGATCAGGTTACCTGAAGGGGTGGGCGATGGGACGTGGGTGACGTAGGGGTGGTGCTGGAATTTGGGCGGGTTGTCGTTCACATCGGCCACGGACACGAGCACGCTGGTGGAGCTGGAGAGAGCCCTGGGGAAGCCTCCATCGCTGGCCACCACCACCAGGGTGTAGTTCTCCCTGGCCTCTCGGTCGAGGAGAGCGCTGGTGATGATCTGTCCCGTAGAAGGGTTGATGGTGAACTGTGAATTACCGCCCATAAGCCTGTAGCTGTTTGAGAGGAAAAGCAAGGAAGAAAAATTGGATTAGTATTTCCAAAGGTAGCCTTATTATTAAGATAATAACCATTTCCTGTACTCTTCAGACCACCATGCTGATGGGTATCAATACAGACAGATTTTCTTCCAACTCTCCATCTGTCTTCACTGCTTTACTTTTTCAAATTTCAAGGCCTGTCATAAATGACATTTCTGGGGATTTCCAAGCATAGCTGTTTAACACAGATTTCTAATACGTGAGCTGACTGAGCCTTTGGATATCTGAAGATACCAATGGACATATTCTCAAAACTGCCTACTGGAGGCATCCTCTAGTGCTGATTTCCCTGGGCTAGTGCATTAACTGTTACTCCAAAACACTGATGTACCTCTTAACTGAACCTGCAGAATATAATTTAGAAGAAGTTCTGTTTTTTGAAATAAAACAATGACAGTTTTACCAAATAAAATGAACGTTTAATATCCATATTGTTTCCTGATGCTAAGTTTTGCTATTCAGGATTTCAATGTTAATTTATAGCAGCTCATAGCAAATTAGTAAGCACAGAGCTCTGTTAACAGAGACTAGCTGGGGTCAGAGTTTGACCCTTGGTGGGTGTACAAATGTGTGGACACATCCCTCTGTGATCTGGTAAGAACTGTGTGTTCACTGCAGGCGCCTCATAGGGGCCACCTCTGGCTTCCTACCACCCTGGAAGTCTGTCCCTTCTCTTGGAATGCCTATCCAGCTTGTGTTCATACAGAATGAATCTCAAAGATGCATTTTTAAAGGTACTTGGCTAATAATACCTTTGTTAAGAATTCAGATAATGGATTTTTGAGAAAACAGTGGAAACAGAAACTGGCTCAGATGCACAATTCTCATATTCAGTATCATAGCCCAACACAGCTGTGGTTAGCATTGCTCCTCTGCTAGAGCACAGCAGCAGCTTTTCTGAGGTATGTTTCTATGAAAGATTCAGAATAAAGTGGCTTTAATGAAAGAGATTAATATTCCTATCTTCACCTCTTTAAGACCAGAACAGGTTATGACAGCAGTAATAGCACAGCCCAGAAGCTGCACTGAGAGGGTTGAGAGCCAGCCTGTGTAATAAGCTGTGGCAACTTCTCCTGCTCAGTCATTAATCTCTACACAATGCCACAAGCATACTTTAATTGGTTAATTATGATATAATGTGATGGCCATATGCAATTATTCTCCAGCCGTAAGAGTGTGCACCTAGAATAGAAAGAATGTGCACAAAGCCTAAAGCACCACTTAAATCTCCCTAAACAGCAGCACCAGGCACATTTCATCTGTGATTTGCAGTGTTTTAACCATGAGTGGGGTATTGCAGAGACAGAAACTTTCTCTTATGTGCTTCCACATATACGTGGCTCAAATGTTAGCACTGGAAAGATAACATTGAATTTTTATTTTTTTTAAAAAAAGACATGTTACATTTGTCATAAGATATTCTGAATTGTATCTGCAGGCAAACCAACTGGACAGCATACATGTGTTTCAACCTAACTGTGAAAAATCCAAATGCAACCAAAAAAAAAGCTAAACAAAACCAAAACAAAAAAAACCTTGAAACTCTAATGGTGGCAAATGGTGTAAAAGGAATTTGATCCAAACACTTAAAATCTGGCCTTTTGACTCTTATATCTGCTGTCTTTAACGGGACAGATCAAGTGTGCATTGCCATTTACAACCCCATTGCCCTCCTTTAATGACTTCACAGGTTATCACCAGAAACAAGGGAGCAAGAGTTGGCATGTATGGACAGGTGACAGTTTTGCAGAGGATTAAACACTTCTTTCAAAACACAGCACATTTTTTCACTTTACGTGAAAATGTCAGCCAAGGATTTTAAATGCCCCTTTTGGAAAGCAAAGGTTTAATTTTGAACAGACTCTTACAAGACTGAAAAGGAGTTCTGAGTGCTCAGCACCTCTGACAAGACAACCCTACATGTTCTGGTCCTTCTGGCTTTCACCAGTTTTGTAATACCAGTCATACTTTAAGATCTACTTTAAATGCTGAATCTGGACAAGTTCAGTCCAAGAAAAACAAAGCCTGTTCCTGAGCCTAAAGAGTGTAAAACAAAACCTGAAAACAATGCTTTAATAACTACTTATGAAGGGAAAAAATATTTTTATCAACCAATTCCATGATGCAGTACTGAGTGAATGACAAAGACTAATGGCAGAGATATTAAAGCAATTTAACTACACTAGAGAAATCCAAGAGCACTCTGATAATTTCTGATTACGGGACACAATTATTACAGTCATTCCTGCTTTGCATGGAATTCTTTTTTTAATAAAGGAGCTTGCCAGAAATAGTTTCTTAGATTATGAGTGAACAGAATTAAAACCTTCATTGTTTCACAATTTAATAAATGGCAATTTTGGATTATTTTCAAATATCTAAAGATGTATAAATGTCAAGCTTCTATTTTTGGCTTGTAGCTAGGTGGAAAGAAAATATTTCAATATTTTATAGACATTGCTTTGCCATAACATAGTTCTGTTTTATTTTACTTCCTTTAAAAAAAAGTGACACAGTGGTATTCTTAAGCTCCTTGAAGAAGGAACTGAGGTGAACTAACAAAGGTAAATAAGGAAGCTGCTTTTCTATCCTGCCTTATGAGTTTGGAAACAGTGATGTTTCCAGCCACAACAGTGAAATGTGGTAAGATTAGGAACTAATGGAAATTTGCTTCGCATTCCATTTGCAATGTATCTGTCCTCAGTGCATAATCTTCAGCTTGTCACGGCCACTCAGCATCTTCATCCCTCTTGTCTGTGGAACTGGGAATGGCCCGTGTTCCATCAACTGAGCCCTGCAAACCCTTTGGCATGGAGTGCAAAAATGCCAAATTCCAACTTTTTACTGGTTTTCTGAATGGAATAAGCTTTTCCTTGGAATATGCATTTCCTTGGGTAGTTTTCATGCCAAACTGAGGACTTTAACTGACCAAAGCTTTACTCAAGGAGCACATTTGCTTTCAGTGAAAATTGCTCACTGCATGGGAAGGTGTGAATGCAGCAGCAAGGCAGGTAGTGGGTGCAGGTGCAAATTAAACTGGTTTGCTTTTCACTCAGTAAAAAAATAACTCCACAACTCTATTTGTCCTCAAAGCCTATAAACAACAAAAGGACAGATTGGCCCAAGTAATTTAGTTACACACACAAAGCTGTTCTATTCTGTCTTACAGCTTTGAGGCATGCTGGTGATGGACACTGGGGAAAAAGAAACCTTCAGGCAAGCCATGAGGCAGTATTACATGGAGCAACAGTAATCGACCTACCTAATGACAGCATTTGTAGAGGCATCAGCATCCGAGGAGTTTACGAGCAAAATATCTGTCCCCGTGGGAGCATCCTCCGGAACAGTGGCAAAATACATGTTAAAGGCGAACGTGGGGACATTGTCATTGACATCATCCACTGTGACAGCAATGGTTCCAGTGCCAGTGAGGGCAGGAGATCCTGTGGGAAAGGGGGGGATACGAAGTGCTAGAGGTTACAAACACCAGCACGCTAATCGGAGTTCTGCCAGCCCCGATTTAGAGCCGAGCGCTTGAGCATGTCACAGTTCACAGAGGAAGAAAGCCAGCTCAACAGAGAGGACAGGGTCAGGTTTGTTTCAAAGTCATCTTGACATAAAGTACAAGTTGTGAAACACAAAAAAAAAAAAAAAGTTATTATTTTTCTTGCTTCATCTAATTCCAGAAATATTTGGTAACACAAGCTCAGTGGAAAAAGACGGTCTTGGAACTGCTCAGAAAGCCTTCCTGTAACAATTAGGACCAATTTGAAGATGTGGTTGACTTTCCTATGTCTCTGTGAGAAGACCTTCAAAGGTGGCATGCTGACAGACGTGAAGACTCCAGCCCTCAATTTATTCATCCGCAGAACAAATAGAGTGGAAACAGCGGCAAAACCCAAGCTTTCCGTGTGGCTTTTCCACTGCCGGTCACACCCCTGACCTGGGGAGACCTTCTGGGAGCGGGTGAGAAGGTTGCAATGAGTCTCCAGCCCTGTTCAGACTCATTCTCTCTGCAGAAGCAACCATCTATAGCAGAAAATAATGCTCGCTCCAACGGGATACTGGCTTACGGGAAATCAGACTGAACTTATTTAACCCAGGGCTTTAATCCTTCTTCTTATTCTAAACTTAACTCTGATGAGCAGCAACAAGCATGAAATAGCATGTTTATTCATGTACAATCTCTCAGTATTTGTCCTCTTAAGCTTTTCCTTTGTCAAATCCAAAAAAAAAAAAAACAATGAAGACTTTTACAAGTTCATGTTAGTTTTGTCAGTCCATTCATTACACTTCTTTTCAGCCAAGAATCAGCAAGACATCTTCTGCTGACCAAATTCTCCCCCTGGAAAAAAAGGGATCATTCCCTTCTTTGAAGAGATAAGAAGGAGAAGGAAAAAGTGATAGCAGAGAATAAAACACTTAATGTATGGCCCCTTTTACTCCAAAGACAGATGATAACCATGCCTGTTTTACCCAAGATTGCATGGCTTTCCCCTTCCATCTCAGGTACAACAATTCAGCGTTTGCTGGACTGGAAAAGAGGGAGGATAATGAAATGCTTTGGGCCAGAGGCTGGTGGAGTCCTTGCCGCGAGGCAGGCATATTACACGGAGCTGTCGCTTGATGGAACGCAGGCCGCCCCGCGTGACCGCCCCAGTCCTTCCAGCCTGGCAGATGATTGGGTCACTGCTATCCAAGGTTACTGCTGGAGCTCAACCCCAGGGCTGGGAAGGAGGCAGGCTCTGCTCTTGGGTCTCATCTGCTCCTGGCAAGGGCTCCAAACACAAAGTTCTTATATAAAAGGAGAAATAACAACCCGTTTTCCCACGTTAACCCTTGAAGGCTGAAGAAGCAAGGTGGGAAGAAGCTGGGAGCAGCCTCAGCAAGGGAAGGAAGATTTTTCACCACAAAGCGCTTTGCAGTAACGTGGTTAATGCCCAAATGGGCTGAATGACAGAGCTTCCAATTGAAAGGTGTTATAAATCTCGCAAGGCTGGGCTTGGAGGCTGCTGATCAGAGGGGAAGGATCACTACGCCGAGGAAAGAACGTGCAAGCCAAAGGAGTATAGGTTTCACACCACACAATAGAGGCCTTTCTCTGCTCTGCTCTGAGGTAATTCACCCTGCCAATTAATACGCTTTCAGCCAGGAAGGTTACATTAAAGCAATAAGTCTGACTCATTTTTTAGCCTTTTTCTTTTTTTTTTTAACTCACGTTTTTGTCATTTAGCCAAACGCATATAGATAGAAAAGCCTGCAAAAGTGTTCTTGATTGCTGAAATATTGCCTGTGAAGTGTTTATTATTACTGCATTAAACGAAAGAGAGTCCTCAGCGGCGTTTGCCGCGTGTGTCATCAAGCTCTGGCCTTCCAAACGCATTTTATTGACATTCATCTCGCAGCTAATGAAATGAAAGGTTGAAAGTTGTAAAGTTTCGCAGCTGATTAAACAATTTATATATAATTCAGAAATTAATCTTGGGTAAGTCACATTCAAAGAGCATCAGTAATGCAATTCAGCTTGGAAAAGAAAGCTAACTCACAGCTAAAAACTGAAACTCGCTGTTTCAAATGTATTCGCTAAGACAAAGCCAAGGCCAGAAGATTCACACCGTGGGTTTAGACACAAGAATGAACAGCGGTGGCAACGCCTTTAGATCCCAACCTTTGCCTCATGCCCCAATCCCGTACTCTCCAATTCCCCTTCCTCCATGGAAGTGTCTATGAGGCACCACGCAGCGCAGCGTGGGCTCATTTGTGTCAGCCTCAGGGAAGGGACTGTACCAGCCAAGGCTGAGCACCACACCAACAAAATTAGCTGGGGTAACATAAGTAACCCAGACCTCGTCAGCGTTAGCTTGTGGCTGCAGAGTGCTCACAGAGACATCCCAGAAGTCCCATATTAATTCAGCTGTTTGTAACATCCCAAGTCACTGCTCCTCGGTTCAAAACCCCAAACCTTTCTCATCTTACTTGGATGGAAAAACTCACGTATTTACATTGGTTTCCTGTCTGTGTAGCTATCCAGATATGTTTTTCTTCCTCTAAGTAAAATATCACGTCCACAAATTTACTCCTTTCTTCTATTACACCGAAAGACAAAGTTGCAATTTCACAGAGAGTCCTCAAAGCTTTTACTCAGTTGAAATTAAATGACTAGCTCACATTTCTGCAGTTACTGAGAAATATAAGAAGAGGAAATTACAAATGAAGTAATTTCATATGGAAAAGAAATAGCTCTGGGCCAAATTCTACCGTCCTCAGTGAACTTCCAGTGAAAGCTGTGCTTGCATAAGGACCACAGAATTTGGCCCTTGGTAATAAGCAGGTTTCATAAAATGTACATGTCATATTTGTGGTGAGAGAAGTAGTTTCCATGGTCAGGCTGAGTTCCCAGATTTCTTACTTTTGCTTCAATAGCAAATCTTCCCCAAGTCAGTTAATGCTTATTACAGTAGAGCATCACCCCTATTTTATTCAAACTGCTCTTAATATTTTGCATAAATAAGTGCAATAAATTTAGTGTAAATTCTGCAATATTAGCCAAACACACAAGATGACCCCAAACCATTCTTAAAAAACCATACATGTTACAACCTATCTAAAATTGTTGTACACAGCCACACAAGCCTCTGAGTACTTTTAAAAACAGCCCTGAGGGCTAAAGCCACAAAAAACCATACACTTCTCCCTTAGTGAACTTGCATTAAAAATTTCTATGATTTTTCACAATAAATAAATTTTTCACAATATTTTTCAGCAGAAGCAGCAAGTATTTATTTGTCACTCCTCACTTAGAACATTTCTCTAGTGTTATACAACTAGTAAGGTTTTTGTCCAAATCCCAAAATGCTATGTCTCACAGAGACAGTTTTCTAGGAGGATGGAGGAGTGGAGGAACCAAATGATGAATAACGAGAGAACATAAAATTGACTGTGTGAGCTAAATGGGAGAGATTGAATTGGCTGTTCCCGTTCAGTTAGTATCAAATCTTTCAAATTTATAAGATGGTGCCATTCATATATTATCGTCATTATAATTGTGAATTTCCCATCTCTGTGTGCTGAGGTCTGTTTCTATGAGCTGCACAGTTTACTTTCTAGGTGGCAGCCGTACATATACACTAAGCAGACAGTCCCAGAAACGTCCACACACGTCATTGTTGAAACAGAGATTAACCTGGGATAGTGTCAAAATAGTAACGCTGGGTTCAGGGGGGGAAATTGCTTCCCACGGATGTTCTTCCAAAAATTTCAACTTTTTTGCTTACATCTGCAAGTAAACATGTGTCTGGGGATGAAGAGAAGGAGCAGACCTTGGGAGCCTGCTCCTCGGAGGCCAGTGGTGAGGGATAAGTTACAGAGAGGTTGTGAGAGGCCACCTTGGGCTGGGCCAGCCCTGGGCTGTGGCTCCCCTTTCTGCACGGGACACTGGGGGAAGCAACGTGAAGGAACAGCAGTGGAGAATGTGGGGCAGGCAGGCAGCTGCAAGGTGGGTCTGGAAAAGAACTACCAGCAGATTTTCTGCTCCATTCACCCACCCATGCTTGCTTGAGGCTGATCACCACAAAACAAAATATGATGATGTTTGCAATTTTTTACCTTTAAAGTTGCAACGGGCGCTCTCAATTTTTTTACTCTACCTGTCCAGGAGAGGTGGGATGAGAAATATTGGCTCAGTGCAGTAATGCAAGTAAGATGAAAGAGGGATGCACCTGAAGACTGCTTTCCCTTTTGCCTTGCTCTATCCATGCACCCTTGGAAGAAGGGAGTGCCATGTGCTTGTCCCTTGTTCTGGGAATGGGGCAGGTGAGCTGTTTGGGCTCCCTGGAATCTCCCAACACATGGCAGCATCTGCTCTGGTATGCGTTCATCTCTCCGCACCACATCTGGGTGACTGGGGAATGATCAGAGCACTTGGTGCACTGGAGCAGCATGAAAAAGCCATGAAAGGAAAGTTGCAAAGCCATTTAGGTTCTTCATGAAAGCTCAGGAAAAGATTGTGCTGTTGGAAATTATCTCGGCTGTGTGGTGCTGTTTGGCTCACAGCAAAAATTAGAAATAGGAGAATGTGTCCAGCACACCATCCACATATTGTTTGAAGCCTTAATGGTTTCTAGGTCCTGTCTGCACCATGCTTAGCACAGCAGATAGTAAAACCATCATTCCTTTCAGAAACCAGGAACTCAGAAGTTTTTGCCAGCACTGAAACATCAAAATCACGTTTTAGAAAACAAACAATAAACTTAAGCAAAAACCCCGCATATACATTTCACTAAAAAAATAAAAAAAGGGATTAAAATGAAATAAAATGAATCTAAAAGACTAATCAAGACTCATCCTGCAGGCAGTTTACCATGTTTTATGGTAAATTAAACACATCATTATCCTGAAAATTGGAAAGCGATTTAACAGAAATGGAATTTTTGCCTCAGTGAAA